AGGGAACTTAAGGACCATCCCATTCCACGGGCATAGACACTTCCCACTATCCCAGGGAATCCAACCCGGCCTTGGACACTCCCAGGGATCCAGGGGCAGCCACAGCTCCTCTGGGAATTCCATCCCGGCCCCTCCCCACCCTCCCTATTGGGAATCCCTTCCCAGTCTCCCCCCCAAACCTCCCATCCCTCATCCTCAGCCCGTTTTGTTCCCAATAAACCCCCTCCCGAGCCGAGTTCCCTGTGAACATCAAACCAGACGAGTTCCAGTCGCTCCCCAAGGAGCCAAAATCAACGTTCCCAAACTCCTGGCTCCCGTTCTCCCCGGCTGCTGAAAGGGATCTGGTTCCAATGTTTGCTTTGCCTCCTCCCTTGGCTTTTCCGGACACCTCCCGTGGCGCGCGTGGAGCCCTGGAAAACGTGGAAAATCCCAGGAACTTCCAGAGCACTTTTGGATTTCCCGTCGTCTCCTGGGAGAGCCGATGAGCTCCAGCTTTTCCCGCGGGATGTGCTTTGTGCTCTGGAAGCTCTCCTCGGGATCCAGAGCTGTGAAACTGTTTGGTGTTGCTCCAAATTAATTCCACCCCTTCCACGAGATTCATTCCCGGACTTTCCAGGGTCGCTGCACAACCACTGGAATTCCGCGCTTTGGGATTGTTGAAGTGTCCCTTCGCAGGGAAGGATTCCTTCCCAGTATCCCACCGACCCTCTGGCAGTGGGAAGCCGTTCCCTCCTTGTCCCGTCATTCCATACCCTCTCCAGCTCTCCTGGAGCCCCTTTAGGCGCTGGAAGGGGCTCCAAGGTTTTCCTGGATCCTTCTCTTCTCCAGGTGGACATTCCCATCTCTCCCATTCCTGGATCCACACCTGGTGATTCCAGGTGTTTCCACATCCCTGGCAGGGCAGGACCCTTATCCTTGGCTTTGTCCAGGTATCCCACCTGGATCAGGTGTGGGAAGGGACCTCAAAGCTCATCCCATCCCTTCCCATGAGCTGGGAACCTTCCACTGTTCCATTCATGGATCTCGCCCTCCGCTCCTCACTTTGCTGTTTATCCCTTCAGTTTGCTGCTGAATTTCCAAAATCTTGGAATTAGGATGGCAAAGATGCTTAATCCAGAGCTAATTAACTTTTTATCCAATTATGGCTTTTCCTGGATCCTCCCTCCACAGCTCCTGGAAAGCTTTGCTCTCCCTGAAATGCTCCGGAATCACAACAATTAACTCTTTTCCCTCTGTTTTCCGTGGTTTCCAGGCCGCTGGACGAGATTCCACCTCCATTTGGGAGCAGCCCACCGGGAAAAGTCCCTCACACCTCCCAGAAAAGCAGGAAGGCCAAGGAGCTCTGCAGGCGTTCCAGGGATCAGATGATCATTGTAAGGATGTGCTGGGCCCTGGGGCGGGGAATTTTGGGATGAGGAAACCCGGAATATTCCACGAGGATAATCCCAAAAGGAGCTGTTGGGCAGCTTAACGCGTGGCAGTAGCTGGAAAATCCATTGCTGTGGTTTCCCTGGGATTAACACTTGGAGAATCCAACGGGGATTTATGGAACATAACGTTTAATAAAATATCGGGAAGCTCAGCCAAGGCTTCGTGGATTCCAGAGGATTTGGCCGGATGATTTCCCTTTCCCACGGCTTCCTGTGGGAGCAGAGGGGGCTCCGAGCTGGAAATGGCAGCGGGAATCAGGAATGGGCAGCTGGGAGCAGCTCCCTCCTGAGGAACACTTTAAATTCAATTTCATCCCCTTAAAATGAGGGAAAAGGGGGTTTTTTTCCTCTCAGTTTAAACCCGAAAAATTGGGGAAAAAAAAAAAAAAAAGGAGCTCCCACAATTTTAACTCCAAATTGATGGTAAAGGTGGGGGGGTTTTACCACTGAGACGGGTTTTGGCAAAAAAACATGTTTTT